AATAATAATAATAATAATAATAATAATGCCCCCAACAGCAACTGCTACTTTTTCCCCTTCCCAGAAGAATAGATGGGGGTCCCAGGAGATGTTTCCCCGTGGACAGAAGGGACCTCTGGCCGGGTGTGGTGGTGCACACCTTCAATCTCAGCACTGAGGAAGCAAAGGCAGGAGGATTTTTGTTTGTTCGAGACCAGCCTGGTCTACACAGAGAGTCTGAAGCCAGCTTTGGGGGTGGGAGGCACATCGTGAGAAGCAAAAATCAGAAGGTACAGCCAGGCGATAGTTGCACACGCCTTTAATCCCAGCACTCTGTGAGTTCGAGGCCAGCATGGTCTACAGAGTGAGTCCCAGGAAAGGAAGGGAAGAGGGAGGGGAGCCCTGACTACACTTTATCTTGCATAACCTGATTATCATACAGAGAATTCCACCGTCTAATGAGCAGATTTACACTTTCACAAGTTTGACCCCTAATAGCACATGCCTGCATCGGACAGATGGCCAGTCCCAACTGCAGGCATCCCACTCTGTAAAAGTTAGTCCTCAACAATGTCATGTCACCTAAGCAAGATGGAGCTCCCTCCCACAAGTGTCCCACCTGTCAGACCTAAGAAATTTCCATTAAACCCTGTAAAGAGCTAACACTGGGAACACATTATGTCAGGTGCAATCTTTGAATTCCCACACCTCCAGCGTTGGTGGTGTCTCCTGTTAAATCTTCCATTTCTGTCAGTCTGGTCTTTGGTGAATACATTCAGTCAGTGTGTCATTGGCTTGCCAACATGGTCCCCCGCACAGAAGTATCCTCTCACTCCCCAGATACCTAGTGCTTGCAAAGATCAAATTGCTTTATTTCAACCAGGTGGCGGTGGCAGCCGCACACTTTTAATCCAAGCACTAGGGAGGCAGAAGCAGGCAGATCTCTGTGAATTCCAGGATAACCAAGGCTACACAGAGAAACCCTGTCTCAAAAAAAAAAAAAAAAAAAAAAAAAAAAAAAAAAAAAAGAAGAAGAAAAATTGCTTTATTTCAGACATTCACTAGGCATGTTGGTGCATTTATATAATTACAACCTTGGGAAGATGGGGCAAGAGAATCTGTTCAAAGCCAGCCTGGGTTTCAATGTGAGATCCTATCTCACCAAAAATCCACAGTTCCATTGTATCATTAGCTATGTGCCCTTAGACACATTAGTTCACTTCTCTGATCAGTTTCACAAGGTTATAAAGCATGATAAGTGTATTTCATGGAATTACTGTGACATATGTGTTAAAGTAATCTGTATGTTTTGGGCAGAAAGCACTCTTGATTATCCTGGGGCCAATTCAAGAGGTGCTAACTTTCATGGGGCTGGAGAAATACCTCAGTAGTTGAAAGCACTTACTACTCTACCCAAACTTGCATTTCAGTGGCTCAAAACCACCTCCAACTTCAGCTCCAGGGGAATCCTACACCTTGGTTCTCTCTGCAAGGCACCTGGGCTCTTGCAGACACACACAAACAAACATTTAAAAAAAGGATAATAAAAATACTTAAAAATTGCCGGGCATTGGTGGCACACATCTTTAAAAAAATACTTAAAAACAACAACAACAAAAAGACATTCTAACTTTCAGGCTTCTCTAGCACTGATCAAAGCCAGACACAGCACAGTCTTTAATCTCAGTGCTCAGAAGGCAGAAACAGGCAAATCTCTGGGAGTTCCAGGTCAACTACAACTATACAGTGAGACCCTGTCTAACAAATGGGGGGTAGAAGGGAGGGGACAGCAATGTGAACCTACAAGTTCTTTGTTTTTGTTTGTGTTTTGTTTTTAGAGTGTCTCTGTATTCTTGGCTACCTGCCTCTCCCTCCCAAGTGCTGATATTAAAGGCATTCACCATCACTGCTGGCTATGAAACTACAATTTTATAAAATTTTAATTAAGACCATTCTGTTAAGCGGGGCAGTGGTGGCAGCACAAGGGAGGCAGAGGCAGTTTGAGGCCAGCCTGGTCTACAAGAACAAGTTCTGGGACAGCTAGGACTACACAGAGAAACCCTGTCTTGAAGAAAAAAAAGACCATTTTGTTTTGTTTTGTTTTTTTGAGGCAGAATCTCACTATGTCAAGTGGGCTTACATCCAGTTCCAATTAAGAACATTTTAAATATAAAATGAAGGATGATGAGAAACTGCAGAACCTTTGTCCAGGAGTTGTGATAGACGAGGGAAAGGGAACCACATTGTAGCGCCTTTCTTTTACCATATTCTGACGTCATTCTGGATGCTTCAGATTTTTATTTATTAATTTATTTACTTTATTATTATCATTATTATTATTGAGACAGGGTCTCACTGTGTAGCCCTAGCTGGCATGCAACTCTTGTACATGTGAGTCTCTGCCTCTCTAGAGCTGATGTTAAAGACTTGAGTCACCACACCCAGCAACATCAGCTCTTTAGTTTCTGAACCTCAACACAATTAACATTGGACCCATATTACATAAGATGCAATCCTTGAGCTACTGGCCCCATGGCCCTTAAAATAAACCAGGAATGACTTGTATACCAGAAATCCTTATACTTGGAATTCAAAGCCAGCCTAGGATACACAGTAGGTCAAGGCTAGAATAGGTTATTTGAGAAACCATCTCGAATGCAAATAAATAACACGGTAATAATAAAGCTCTTATTCCTACCAAGCGAAGACAACATTTCCATGAGAACCAAAGACCTTTTATTGTTAGAACCCAGTAAAAAGTTTGAGAATAGCTCAGTTCAAAAAAGTACCCACAGTCTTCTGGGGACAAGGGACCTTCCTTGCCTCTCTAACAGTGTCTAGACTGAACATCTAGATAATATACCAAGTAGGAAAGTCACATTCTCTAAATCAGGACCAAAAAAGGCTGGAGGCTCCTTACTCAGCTCACGAGGCCTATGGAATTAGGAAAGACAAATCAGTTAGACACTGAGCGCTCCAGCAGCCAAAACCATACATTTCCCACCCCAAGGACATATGTCTTGGACATCCAAGAGAAATGGATGAGAAATTATGTCTCCAACTGGAACATTTAATCCTACAGACACCCAGGTAATAGACCCAGTATCCATGTCAGACACTCACCCAAGTAGTCATCCATCAGAGAGCCAATAGCAAACTGTAGGAAGAATGGTAAAAAGGGAAGGTGAAGCCACGGCAAGCATGGATTTCTTCTACCCACTCCACCCTCATTCCAAGCCTTCTATCTCTCATCCCCTTCTCATGGAAAAATAGCACAGAAACCCCAAACAACTGTGGATGGCAAGAAATAAACAGTTCTTGGGCCAGTGAAATGGCTCAGATGGTAAAGGAGCTTGCTGCATGAGCCTGATGACCTGAGTTCTATCCCCAGAACATACAGCAGCAGGAGAGAACATGAAGGCTGACTGAGTGTCACACTATGGTGAGTGTGTGTGTACATCCACACAAACAATAAAAATAAAGCTTTTTAAAAATAATAAAACTTGGCTGAGTGGTGGTGGCACACGCCTTTAGTCCCAGCACTCAGGAGGCAGAGGCAGGCAGGCGGATCTCTGTGAGTTCGAGACCAGCCTGGTCTACAAGAGCTAGTTCCAGGACAGGCTCCAAAGCCACAGAGAAACCCTGTCTCGGGGAGAGAAAAACAAACAAACAAAAAAAAAAAAACTAACACAGTAAATTTTTTAAAAAGAAAAGAAGAAATCAGCAATTCTTGCTGGGAATGATAGTACTGGCCAATTTATAATCCTACCACTTGGAAAACAGAGACAGGAGGAGCACAAGTTCAAGGCAAGTCTCGACTACAACATCAAGATCCTATCCCAAAAACCAACCAAGCAAGCAACCAAATAATAGCTCCAGGCCTGCCTAGAACAGGCCACAAGTCAGGGAAGACACTCACAATGTCATTCTTGTCCACACGTGTCCCCACAATCTTCAAGCGGATCTCGTCATCCTGCTGAATCACAATGTCCTGTGGGATGGAGAACCGTGCACTTAAGCACACGAAGGCCCAGGCTCAGCACGTCTTACCCTCTTTCCTCTCACTCACCTCATCCATTGTCTTGTAACAAGGTGGGTTGGAGTTTGGATCAAACTCCATCTCTGATGGGATGGACTAGAAGGAAAATGACGTAAGGATTACCACGTCAACTGCTGTGGTCCCTGGCCCCACCCCGTGGGCCCAGACTTACATGTCGAGAGATGAAACAGGACATGGGCCCAATTTCTGTGAAAAGTCCAACCTAGGAGGGAAATGATCACACTTCGAAGGCTTTCAGGGACTAATTTTCCCACCTTTATCTGATTTCTAATCATATTGTTTTATAACAGTCTGGATTGCAGCATTGATTTTCATTTCTCTCTCACACTGCAACCTTTTATTCCTTTTTTTTTTTTTTTTTTTTTTTTTTTTTGAGACAGGGTTTCTCTGTGTAACAGCATTGGCTGTCCTGGAACTAGTGCTATACACCAGGCT